GAACATCTCCCCCTTCTCCTTCAGGCCGATCATCCAGCAGGTATTTGACAATGGCAGCATCTACAATCCTGAAGCGTTTGACATCACAGAGGAGATTCTGCATACTCGCTTCTTGGAGGGTGTCTGCAAGGTTGCCAGGTCTGTCTGCAGATTGGTTACCCAACTGTGGCGTCAATACCACATTCCATCATCAATGGGTACAAGCGGGTCCTGATTTCTCTGTGGAGACTGACTACACTTTCCCACTGACTGAAAAGGTCAACGCCTTCCTGGCTGATCCATCTGCATTTGTGACTGCTGCCCCTGTGGCCGCTGCAGCTACCGCTACTATTCCTGCTGCTGCTGCAGCCCCAGCCAAGGTGGAAGCAAAGGAAGAGTCAGAGGAGTCAAACAAAGATATGGAATTTGGTCTCTTTGACTAAAAACCAAAAAAGCCACCAACTCTGCAGTTTTGTGTGAAACAAGGAAATAAAGGCTTCATTCTCTTAAAAGCCTCTAAGTTCTCAAGGTATTAAATGAGGCTGAGCATCTAAAAAAAAAAAGAGAGAATACATAAAAATATTAAAAATTCACAAATTCTTATTGTAGATGTATTAATCAATCTGTTAAATTTTTGGTAATGCAATGGATGAATAATTCATATATTATTCAATACTTATTAGTAAATTAACTGGTGCAAGGACAAAAAACATGGAAAGAACTGAACAAGTTACAAAGAGTATGTAGAGTCAACAGTTTTTAAGTTGTTGGTTCATTGTGGGGGTTTTTAGTTTGATTGTTTCTAGTTTTGTAAGTCTTTTGAAAATCAAGTGAAAGCTACAGATTCCTTCCCAGAAAAATAAAATGTGTATACATATCTTACAAAATTTATCATGTTAGTGGGAAAGAGACCATGCGCCCTAGATCCTATTTATTGTTGTTGTGTACTGTAAAGTCAGAACCATTGAAAACAACACATTTTCAGAGGGAGTAAAATCACTTAGGAGGAGATTGTCCCGGCTCTCCTAAAGCCTAATCTGGGACGCACGCGTGTGCGCATAAACACACACACACACGCAGAGACACTGTGAACAGGAGATGTGAATATTTGTTTTCCATATCTCACTAAAAAGGTTTGTTATTCTAAGCAAGTTTTTTTTT